AATGTTCTCACCGTTTCAGGCTCTTCCAAACCTCGCCATCATGAAGTGTGAGCAACCGTTTTACGTTTCTTCCGGAGAACTGTTTCATTGGAAAAATTATTTGTTCAGGGTTGATACTGCTGTTCGTTGCCTATGCTTTCGCCGAACAAACGGAAAATGCTGGCGGCGATCCAGCAGCACCAAAAGAGAAGAATTATCGAAAATATATCGCAGAGCAAGACTTCGTGAGTAAACTACAGTTGTATCAAGCAACGAGACTTCGTAGTATTAAAATAGGAAAATTTTGTTTTTAGAAGCTTCCATTCAAAACGCGAGTTAGTGAACCTTTCGTTGTCGGGCAGACCATCCATGCTGTAGGAACACTGGCAGAAAAGCCGACGAGGTCTGATCAAAACATTTCTTAGTAGCTCAGTGCCAAAAAGGAATGAAGAAGTCTTCATTTTCTGAATAGCTATTAATCGGATCATTTTCAGAATTGACTTCAACTTCCACAAAGGACCCTCAAAGGATGCTGATCTTCCATTGCATTTCTCCATCCGATTTGATGAGGGTCAGAGCAAAGCTTCATTATCCACAACCTATCGAGTTTCTTATTTTCTAGGGATTTTCTCGGGCAAATTTGTTTACAATACCTTCAAGGATGGTAACTGGTCTGAGCGCGAACAACGTATCTCTAATCCCTTCAAAGCTGGCCAAGAATTCGATCTCAGAGTTAGAATTCTTGAGGGAAAATTCCAGGTTAGTTTTCATAAACCGTTATTTAGGGACTTCGGAAAATAGGTCATGTTTCCTTTCAGGTATTTGCCAACCGTGTTGAAGTCGGAACATTCGAGCAAAGACAACAACTTGATGGAGTAAGTTTCCCTGAGACACTTATGTTCTCTAAAAATCTTCTTAACTTAAAATTCTTTTCAGATTGACCATGTCTCTATTCGTGGCGATTTGACCAAGCTCCGTCTCTTCCACTATGGTGGTCGAATCTTCCCTAACCCCTACATGGCAGTTGCCGAGCTCAAGCCTGGAAAGCGACTAGATA